AAATTTAAAATCAATTCAAAAAAACACACAAAAGGGGTACTTGTGTTCACCTGACACTATCTTATGTCACATACACACTCTATTGCTGCAATACGATTGTACTGGGTGTGATTTTTTTTTCTGAAAGAATGCACACCTGTGCCTCATGTGATTCAGTGTGTGCAGGTGCATTATGCATGAGGCACTGCAAAATATAGCCTGTATACATAGTTGGGCTTGGATTCAAACAGACACACCATGCACTCCAAAAAAGGGGTTGTTTCTAAATGGGTAGACCTAATGTGGCTACCACTCCTATCTTATTCACAAGATGATCATGTGTATGCATGTGCCATGTTTGTGTGAATGCCTGCATCTGCCATTATTTTGTGGATAGTGAGTGCTTGTCTGAGAGACTGACTGAGATGGAAAGTTAGCCTGGGGAAGCTTGCAAAGAGAAGGATGCAGTCAAACAGAGAGAGAGAGAGCGACACACTGCTCAGATTTCACCCAGATTAATCTAGAAGCATTGCAATGAGGGGTCTACGGTATATATTTAGCCAGTGCAGTGAGATGTAGGTCAGACAGACAGGCAAACTACATGCCCAGATTGCCCACACTGCTATGACCTTCAGTGGGCCGTCAATGATCCGCAACAACAACTCTCGATCTATTTCTGTTGACCTATGACAGACAGACATACAATGGCTTTGAACATTCCATGTTTTACACAAGTCACAAGTTAGAGCCCTTGCGTTCTGCTTTGTGGAACACAAACGATCTTGGAAATTCAATATCATAGCTTTACCGAAACGTTACTTGTTGATTAAAAAGAAAGAACAGAGAATGAATTATTGTCAACGTCCGCGCCGTGTGTTGATACTGGCTTTAGTTCAAATGTATTCAATGCGAGAACAAAGCACACTCAGACACATTTCTCAGTCTGTCTTCTGTAGCACTAGACACGGAACAAAACTAACTAAACACTGCGAAATGTACAGCAATTATTCATTTTACAATCCGCAACTTTGACTAAAATTCTTTATAGCAATGACAGTTTTGTGCTACTGGCCTCTCACTGCTAGCTTTGGTGAAAATAAATGATTGTTTCTGATTTTAACTTTAAATTAACATGTAGTAGGTCATTTCAGATAAACACCGAAGAGCTTCTTCTGTGCATCCTTTTTGTTGTTGTTGTTGTTTTATTTAGAGCCCCTCCACTCAAAAAGGAGTTTTGCTTATTGTCACTGGTTGTTTGACCTTCACTGTGCAGAAAGATGCATGTGCAGAGTTTTAAAGCCTGTGTTCACGTTCATCTGCTGCAGGCGGAAAAGTTTCTCTGCGCTCACCTTAAATCCCTGTTCAAGGCATACACGTATGAGTATTATTTTGTGACATCACGAGTCTGGGAGCCAATCATGGTTCAATATGCAACTTGAGGGAGAGGGAAAATGTTTTAACAAGGTAATGGAAATTTTTGCAGGGGAAAAAACATATCAGGCACACATTATTTTTCAAAGCAGAGCATTGTTATATATATTCCAACAATTCAGGAGAGGGTCTTTAAATTACTACAACAGGCTCATCAATCTGAGATGACACGCCACTTTGGAGTTCTTGATTTTGCCCTTGGAGCCCAATCCAGAGTAAGCCAAGTGTGACAGAAATGGTGGCTGAAATTTGACATATCGCTGATACTCTCATAAGAGCAAGATCTATTTCAAAACAAACTGAAGCCCGGGAGGGGAAGGGTTGGGGGAGAGGAGGCGGGTAAAGAAAGAACGATGTGTAAACCTTACAGGTGCCACACCCTCTCTCATACAAACACTGTAGATTTCTCTCTCTCTCTCTCTCTCTCTTTCTCATTCTTTCACACACACAAACAGCACTTGTGTGTCACCACAAACACCTTATCCTCAATTGTTCTGTCAGATCGGTTGTCACAACGTTCCAAATACCCACATAATGGCGAAGCTGTAATTTAGATTTATGACTCAAAATCAGAGAAAAGAACATGCTGTACTGATGTCTAAAGCTCAGCTATGACATAGCTCTTAAATATTCACCAGTTAATTTCTGTTTTCTGCTCCTGGTTCGTTCTGGTAAAGGCACACTTTGTCTTGGTGGTTTCTAAAGTGAGGACCCCCCCCTTCATACACACTAGACTCTGTACCCCCCTCCTCCCTTCCTTTTTCCCTTTCTCTGCTCTCATATTGTACACTAAGTATTTTGTGTTCCTCTGTATATTCTAGCTCAATTATGTAATTTAGCACCCGTGTGTGTGTTCAGTAGCCATGGCAACAGCACAACATATCGGCGACCACAGAACCGCGCTGGGGCCGCGGGCACTGCCACGGTTGTGCCAAAGACTAATCCATGCCAGAGGTGACATGAGCGAAGGAAAAGTGAGGCGGGTGGAGACAACATGACACACACATGAAAAATCACACCGACACACACAGAGACAGACACAGACACACCAGCGTATTACTCTCTCCTCTCACTCCTCGCCTTCCTTTTAAAACACAAGCGCACACACTGGATATCCTCCCATTCTTCTTGGCTGGAGCCTCCCATGGCAGTAGCAGTAGGAATCCATTCTCCACGGATGCTGGGACAGCTGTGCTGATATTGAATGAGACACAGTTGGTGCTGCCTCTCTCTGCATGCAGCTCGAGATAAAAACTACATGCTACTTAATTCAAATCTATATTGCCTGCTGCCAAAATGCGCCCAGCTCATCTCGTCTTTGTCTTCGCCACCACAGAGCGCTCAGAATCTCTTTGCAAAAACTGCTGTAAATTCGCTCCTGCTGACGCATGGTGGCCCCTAGTCACCAGCTGACAATACACGCAGAAAATGTATATCCCTGACAAAGACATTAATCACAGAAACCTTTATAACCCTCTCAAATATATGCTTAGAAATGCAGCATGTATTGAAAATGCAAATATTCCACAACATGCTGCCAATTTTGAAGCTCCAAAGATAACAAAAAGCTCACATATGAAGCTATGGGGTGTCTTAGCAGGGCTAACTCCTCATTTTAGGCTGGGGGCCTTCGGTGATGCCAATGGCAGGAGGGCACAAATACACAAAAAGGCCACCTTAAATGAGCAAAGCCAGAGTGCAACGTGTAAAACACTTGAGTGTCTTTTAATGATTGCGTTTTTTGCAGTGGGTTGGCCTGTAACTGGCAGTGCGGTACGAATGAATAAGTAAAAGGAACATGGTGTCCCAGGCAAGCGTCTGGCATTATAACCTCCTGGTGTCCTGTGATGAGGGGAAAAGATCCGGCTCTGCCTGTAGAGCACAAAACAGCAGCATGCCCAATCAGGGAGTCCGATTTCACCCTGTGCTCCCTGCGTTGTCTTCCCCTCTTACACGTGCGCACATGCAACTCAGTTACAAGAGAGCACAATAGATCAGCCCTACCTGTCAATCTTACCATGAGTTCATACTTCTGTCTGGTGGCCAAAAGGAGAGTGCTTCACTGGCCGCTGGGTCACTTTTCCATACGTATATCCACACAAACTATACTTCTTTTTGCTGTTTGGTCAGTAAGTTACACTGGGAATGTATATATTGAATACAATTAAATTTGTGTACAACTGAACCAAAACCCACAGTGATACCATAATTCAATATAGCTATCTGAGACATGTTATACAGGCAATAAGACCTGTTCTTAACAATGTGACTTTGGTGCTTGCTTTCAAAATTAAACTCCAGCAATTGGACTTCTCTTTAAAGGATAAAGGTGAGACACAGTCGCCTGGAAACTGGCATCCCTGCTAATCCAGCAACAGCCACTCACAGGCCTAACTGGCATGAAGACATGGCACCAAAGGTTTTAGGGTGCATGTGTGCATGTCCCTGTGTACACTTGTGCACACGCATGCATTGTCTACGTCCACTGTGTGTCTTTAATTCTGAGAAATCCAACATTTTCTGTTTATTCAGACTGCGGTTCCATCAGATTTGAATCCTCTGAACAGCTGTCCCAACTCATTTTGCAGGCCTTGGGAAGAGACAGAGAGGGAGCAGGGGGAGAGGGAGCGGGAGGGTAAAAGGGCCACCTTACTAAATATGCGTAAATGCAAAGTTAATGCTTGAAAGTCCAGATATTGATTACATTAATTTAACCAGATTTTCACAAAAAACAAACTAGCTCATGCTTTCCCCCTCTAAATACTGCTTTGATATTTTCATTGAAAACACGGCTCTCTGATAACAGGCGATAAGGATTGGTGGTGACGTAAGAAAAATATAATACATCCTCTTGGAGCAACATATAGCGCCGATAAGAAAAATTGAGGAGCTTCAGACTGGGAGGAATAACCAATAAGTCATTGTGTGCTGAGACGGTGACCTCAAAGCAGAGGCAACTTCTGACTAGAGACAAAGAAGACAGACCACGAAAACATTTGTCATAGACACAAAGCAAATAGGAACTTGCTGCTGCATGAGGAAGACGAAAGGGCTAAAGCAATTGTGCAGCGCAAGTTATAGTTTACACTGATGCAATTTAAAGGAATTCAAGATAAAAAAGGACACATTTTGAAACACAGTCTAGTAGTTTCAAATGAATGTATGAACTGTTTTTTTTTTTGTTACATTACAAGCATCTTGCCTGCCTAAACTATAGCCCAGAGGAAACATTTGTGATGTAATCTATCTCTGTTCCAAAACTACGATCTGACATTTTCCTTTGCACACATTAAAACACAAAGTGGTTGGAGCTGCAGCCAGTTTTGGGTCTGTTTGCGCTGCATTGCAACAGGGGGGAAAGTGTTGTCTGGTTAGACCATGTTGCCAATAACAGGCAACAAAAACACACAGAGAGAAAATGCAACTTTTCATGGAGTTACTATTTCCTGCACGGGCCTACAATAATTCCAGCTGCAGGTCAGCGCGAGAGGCCCTGCAGGAGTGTCACAAAAAAAAACATTTTTTCAAGATGGAATATATGAAAACACATACACCTAATGCGGAATAAAAAGGGACTAAATAGGACTTACCACTAAGGCATTGTTTAGAAGGTGAGTAGGGTAATACTTTAGTGTTGAGAGGGTGTTAAGAGGCGAGGAGAGCAGGGGTCAGCGTCCAGGCGGGCAGAGGGGGCAGAGGGAAGGAATAAGTTAAAATGTCGCACCAGTGAAAACAATCTGAGATGACAACATTAGGAGCTGCTCAACAGTACCACTGAACACATTAAAAAATGCAGTGAAACAAATAAAAATCTGCAGATATGTGCTGCTTCATTGTGGCCTGCAGGGAACTGACACTTTAAATTTGGAAGAAGCAACAAAATGGACAAAAAAAAGAATAATAAATCATCAATTGAAAAGTACAAGAGAAAATATTTGAACAGGAAGACTGCAATTACAGGCTTCAAATGGGTTTAAAGAATGAATGGGAAATTGAAAATATGAGACACTGCAGTGGATCTGGCTTCCACTTCTCTTGAAAAAGTTATAATATCGGTTTTAGATTAAAAAAGGCCCAAACATGGATGTGATTTTTATATCTCTAAATTAAATAAAAATTAAAGAAAACACACTAGACGTCAGACAGCCCAACCACTCTAAGGGCTCTCCCAGTAATTTGCCTCCATTATGCACTGGCCGTCACATCCCAGCATGCTGCTTCTCTCCATCTCCAGCAAGGCTTTTATCACAGTTAATAATTCATTCGATTGTTTACAATTGTTGCCATATCCGAGGTCCAAGCTCAAATTTTTAATTATTAACAGCAATTAGATAAACAAAATGTGCCTTTCCGTCTGCAGACGGAGCTGCAAGGGAATGCTGTGTGTGTGTGTGTGTGTGTGTGAATGTGGAGAGAGAGAGGGCTGCTGGTGCTGTTAGCACGGAGAGGGAAGTTGTTTTTTCTCTGCACAACACAAACATAAGGGGACCAAATTTTTAAAAAATGACACGAAACAGCATGAGGAGCTATTCCATGCTGCAAACGCGCTTCTGCCGTTTTCCTGCCCAGCCAGTGACACAATGCAAGTTACCATTATGTGCAACATGTGCACTACATTACACTGTATGAGCTTCTGTTGCCAATTAGTTTTGATTAAGGGAAATGTATGCAGCTAAATAAATGCTTCTTTTGTCCAGAGATTATCTGCTTTGAAAGATTTTTTTTTTAATCAATTACAGATAAAGTCATAATCTAAAGGCCTGGTGTGCAGTGCAGACCAGACAACTCAGAGCTAAGAGCCATTTTAAATCAAATCTACAAGTGAGCCATCTTATACACACAGCATATCCTGATCTATAGGTAATATGTGTGATGATTTTAATCATCTTTTACCAATCTGTTTGTATTTTCTCTCCATTCCTAACTTAGAATCAGTCAGTTTCACCCTCTGAGTCTTAAGTCAACACACTAAGGAGCCTATGATGGTTTCTTCAATAAAATGAAGAATTAAGGGAAAAAAAATAAAAATCTTTTTTCATTGTATGGCGTCAATGAGAGGACGACATTATGATCGTGGACGTTAATGTTTTGAAATGGAAACCAGACATGACTTGTGCCCGCACGAGAGGAGCCGAGAACATCCTCTCAGCCTCTGGTAGCAGTCGTCAGAGGCAAATGATGGGAGGAAAAGTCTTTTAATAAAGCCACTGTAAAAATCAGGAATGAATTACACATCAAACAGCACCCTGGCAGTCCACTGGCAGACGAAGCCAATGAGGGATAAACAAGTCTGCTTTATAAGAGTAAGACTTCCAGCAGCTGTATAACATGGGCAGGCCGCTGCCACCGGTCGGCTTCAATGAAGGAAAAACCTTGACATATCTTATAGACCTGAAACAATAAATAGGCTTTGTCCTAAAAAAACAAGGTGCTGGAAGGTAACATTAGAGATTTTTTTTTTTATTTAGGATTTTATTTTGCTTTGCAAAATACATGCCCGAGAGAGGACTAATGACAGTTTATCACACTTGAGTTTATAAAAGATACAGTTAATAGTGTGAGAGGGAGGCTGCCAAGCATGTTGGATTTTACATTCTGAGACTGAACTTTTTGTAAGTCTGGGGCATACTGCAAAAAGCTGCATGCAAGCGGCGTTATATTTTTTTCACTTCGTCCACTAATGTAGAAGTGGTGTTTTATGGCTAAGATTAATGATTTAAAAAAGAGAAAATAAAAACAGCTCAAATATGATTTGGTTAAAAGGCAACATTTATTACAGATGCCTCACACCTGAAGAGACTTATTTCACCACATTGTATCTCACTAAAAAAAACAAGTTCAAACAGCTACTCAGTAATCATGTTATGAAGTCTCCTGACACTTTACTTTTCCTTGACTATAAAAATAGCCTGTGTTAAATATGATGTTGGAGCAATCCTTTCTAAAGAACTAACAACACTTTCTCTTTTTTTAATGGATAGCTTGGAAGAGGCAAGGCTAGTGTTTGAAAGTAATGAGATGCAGTACTACCTGCAGCAAGATGTTGAGGAAGCAATTTTACACAAAAGAACAGTGACATGTATTTTGTGATGTTAGTATAAATTAACTGTGCCACCAAAAGGTACTGCACACTGCTGTCTACACTCAGTTCATTGGGGGGAAGGGGGGGCAGGAAGATGAAGAGACAGAGGCTGACATAAAGATATCAAATCAATTTAGTTCCTGTGTCTCCTGTTAAACTGTAACTACACATGAGCACGTGATGCATTCAAGTGCAAAACCTTGTATACAAAAAAAGTCAACTGGTGAAGCCGAGCTCCAGAAAAACACTGTCTCACAAGACGCAGGACGTCTGCGCTGTTTACAGTATATAGCTAACACACGCAGGCCTACACACACATACACGCACACACCCACACACACGCCAGCTCCAATGTCTCCTTTCCCGGTCTCAGCTCCACATGAAAGCAGCCCCAAAGGCGGCGGTGTGCGCCCTGCTCTCCCGCAACTCCTCTCACCGGCCAAAAACTCTTGCGAGCCTCGACACTTGGAAAAATCTTCCAGCAGTAATATTAAACTCCGGTCCACAGTCAGTCTGTCCCTGCGCTCTGCTTTCTCCTCCTCCTGCGGGCTCCCCTCCTTCCTTTTTTATATGAAATACATTTCGGGAGAAGCGCCATTTTCTCTCCAAAACCATGTGCGATGGAAACGCACAACAAAGTTTCCTGGGGCAGAAACGCGCTCCGAGACGGGACGAGCGTCGGAGAGTTGAGGCGAAGTTTCAGAGCGAGTCAGAGAGCAGAAAGACGCTCAACACAACAAACAAACACATGTAAAATAATAGACAGAGGCAGCGCAATAAAAACCGGCGTTCCCACTACCAGCCTCCCCAAACAATGAAATAAGATAAGACAATTTACCTGTGTCAAGCAGTACGGGGAGTACATGGTTATTTTTAGAAAGGAGAATTGGAGAGCTTATTTAAGTTGGATGGAAGCTCGGTATAGTGCTGCATTGCAATCGCTCGCCGTCCTGTTTCTCTCACTCCATGCTGCTGCAGCTCACACTAACCCCGCCTAGAAAGTGAAAGCTTGCACAAACTTTCAGGGAAAAAACTTTGTCTCCCTCCCCTCTCCTCTTGTAGGACTTTTATCGCTCTCCTCTTTGCAGCGACTTCTCCTGAACGGCGGCATTTCCCCCCCGCTATTTATGCAGCTTTATCAAGGTGTTGTTCGCAGAACGTTTGACTTTTGAAATGATAAAAATATTTCTATTGATTCATCTTCGATGGCTATCGAAGCCGCTACGCCGAACCTATAGGCTGCGTCCGCGCGCCCGTACACCTTTTACATGGTAATGCTGTGCTTTAGTTGCGTTTACTGACACCTCCATTCCGTGTTATGGAAATGCAAAATAATGATGAGAGGGTAAATGAGTCGTTCAATTTTAATGTATTTGTACTTACACTGTTGTTACATTTTTACTTAAGGGGGACACGTAAACCCATCATCAGAATAGAGCCTATGCTATATGTAGTCAGACCTGTGCAAAGTTTTTGCAGCTGGTGTTTTGAGAAACAGCGACATGGACACATCCTCTAGCGATAATGTATATAATGGATAAACCAGGGTTGTGTAAGTAGCCTACAGTTCAGCTGTGTGAATAAAATATTCTGTTACAGCTCCTGATGTGAGGATTTCAGCTCTTAAGTCTCATGCATTAAAAGCTAAAGTTTGCACTGGATTATACTCTTAAATTCATTTGCGGGCGTTTGAATCAAAGCATTATCTCATCACGGCTGTAAAGTTAAGACTATTTATTTACTGAACCATATTTGACCCGCTCTGGAACCCACAACTGTAGCTTGAAAACCAGTGAAGTGAGTCCAAGCCAAACAGTGACTGCAGCAGTCACTGTGAAGTAGAAAACTAGCAAGTAGACATATAATCACAGCCTCCGAGCAGTATCAAAATACTAAACTGTGCTAAATCGGGGTGTGTGAGGAAACAGAAAGTCTCTGTCACACACACATACATACAAAGAGTGATACATATATCACAAATATGTGGACTGGGTCCTGAGTGTGGTACAGTGGGAATTTGGGTGGGACTGAATGCATTGTAAAGAAGCGGAGCTGAAATTTTAGGCCTGACACTGGAGTCCCACAGATTTACGAGGCCTACTGCTTGTGCATGTCTACCGCAAGACTCTGCAGGCGAAACAAAGAGATCTGGGCTCTGTGTGGCCAATTACTGCACACGGCCAGATTCGCGAGCCAGAGACGCAGGCGGGGATGGAGAAAGTGTGTGGTCAGGAGTGCAACCTCCGCAGCCGCCACACAAGGTTAGTATACCAGCATTCCTTTCTGTGAATACGATACATGTCTAATATGAAACACACATAGGCCTACACACAGACACGTCCCAAACCACACACACCTTTTGGTTCCTCTTTAGGCAGGTGGGTTGACTTCATGCCTGCTGCATTTGAGGGACATTATTTGCTTTTTCGTAGTGGAGTCATTAAAAGCGCTACAAGTGCAAAAGGTTACAGCGAGCGGTTAGACAGGGATCAACCCCCCACCCCTTCCTCCTTTATAGAGTCGACTTGCATGCAACACACGCAAACACTCCTCTGCCGTGGCTCCTTAAATGAGCCACACATTTAGTGGTCTGTGTGAGTAAATCTCTCATTAAGTAACACATGGTAGAGCCATATGCTACGGTTGGTGGGTCTGCCGCGGCTCTGCTTTTTCACACGCTCCGAATATACATATTTACCACTGCTCCAGAGTGGCCAGCGCTGTAATGACTTCACCCATCAGCTCGGAGCTGTTGCAGCCTACAGTTGCATTAAAAAACCGAGACATTCACTTATTCATGATCAGAGAACTGATGTGTAATTCATCCCTGTCTTGGCTACATCAGGGAAGCTTTTTAGGTCTGCAAAACAGGTTGTGCAAGCAACCGCAAATTTGCCTGGAATCATGACACACGGTATGATAGCGCAACCAGTGATGATACCACACCTTGAAGTCTGTCTTTTGTAAAAGGAGACGGGACAAATGTCAGCTGTAGTGGCCCACAGTTTACATACAGCGCACACGCAGGGCTTTGCTTAAAGAAGAGGTTCCCTACCTGGGGGGTCGAGATAAATCAGAGGGGGTCACAAGATCACTGCAGAAGTCTCCTTCTTACCAAGAATATTTCTGCTGTTTGAATCAATTAGTTAGTAGGCCTAAGTTATGGCCTAGTATGTTATTAGTGATAATTGTCTTTTTTTACCTTTTGTGTTATCATCACTGGTAGGCTATAGTGTGTAATAAAGTGTAATGATTTGTAATGTGGCCAATGTCCGAGGGCCTCAATGTGTGATGTGGCCCTACTTTCTGTAATACTGGTAAATTTACTTTCTTTGCAATTGGAAGGACTTTAACTGGTGAGAGCCTGTACTCTGTGTGTGTATGGTGCTGTTTATCTATATGAATTCAGCCTTATTAAAGTCTGAGGACCAAAACATCATCAATAAAGTGAGCACACGTTTCTCACACTTAAATCACACTTCATTTTTCTTGATGCTGGAGCTGCCTGGCTCTGTCTCGTTTCACTCAAGTCTAGCAAGTTTTTGAAGAAAATCGCACTGTACCAGATTCTGTCACTTGTTTTAAGATCATTGGGATTTAATTATAGCCTAGACAGAAATGACTTGATAAGATGGATTTTTTTTTCTTAATGTGAAACAGGCCTACTGGATGCTTTAACTTCGCCTGGTATTTCAAAATCCTTCAAATTAAACAAGAGGCTATGGCAATCTGAAGAACTGCTCTTAGCTCATATCCACACTACAACCACACACAAGTAGACTGCTCTCCATTTTAAGGGGTCACAGTCCAAAAAGAGTTGAGGCTTTAACTAAAGAATTAAACAAAGGCGCATGCGACGTCTTTCTCTTCAGGATCGCAGCACTCAAAACAGGGTGTTATATGAACATCACCATTCACTTTTAATATATTTTAAAATCCTTATCTTCAAGACCCGTGACATGCAAGCCAAGCACACACGCGCACACACACACACGCGCTCTCAGAAATAAAGACAGAGAAGAAAAGAGCAGTGATGCGCTTTACACAAATCCAAGCCTCCGACAGCAGACCTCCTGGTGAGAAGTTGGAGGTGGACACCCTCCTGTGGATGTTCTTGAACTCGCTGCCCCTGGAATCCAATACAGCTCCACCGACGCTCCTCCCCCTCTCCAAAACTCTCCTCTACCAGCCGTGCTACTCAATTACAGCCATAATGGTTCATTTCTGCACCCCGAGACACACGATACACTGTAGCAACCCAGATTCTCCGTGAGACTTGGCGCAAGTCTTAACTCTGGGAAACAAAGACTGTAGCCTAGAAAACTGGCTCCCACCTCGTTAACAATCACATTTTCAGTCATCCACAGACCCCCCTCAAGCACCCTCCCCATCCCAATTCCTGTGTTTTTATTGCCATTTTATATCATGTCGATCGTCGTAAATCCATTGCGCTCGCCGGGTTTTTCTTTCTTTTTTTGTTAAATTTTAGGAAAGCTGCTTACTTTCTTCGACTTTGTATCCCTTTGGTTTTATACAACTAGGCATGCTGCACATTATAGTCATAATTTTCACTCCCATGAGGCGAGGGGCGCTTCGGTGAAGTTGCAAAGGCCCCCTTTTTTCTTAAATGTGCGTGTGGAAATAATGATTGTAATGGTTTGCAGCTGAGTAGAGGGAGCTGTGAATGACATTATGATTGTGGTGCAATTACCAAGAGCATGAAAACAGACTGTCAGTCATAGTCCTAAGTAATGACTCAAATAACACATTGAAAACCAACACATGTAATAATAATAATAATAATAATAATAATAATAATAGATGCATACCCTGTATGAATCTGATACTACAAAGCATTCAGGCATCCCAGGACCTCTGGAGGGTTCTTCGTTCAACAGAAAGGTTTCGGTTGCCTGAAATGTAACACAACAGTCATTGATTCATTAGTTGACACTGGCTTTGTGTTCAGGGAATTTTAAAACACATAGAAAAGCTAGCTGTAAATCTGTAAACACAGACTTTGGATGTGAGAATCCTGATCCTGCTGCTTCTTATATTGACCTATTTATTAATCATCCTCAAGTCCCACCACCAGATAACTACTTGAGAAATAACATCTTTCATCTTTACACTCTGCTTGCACACACTCTCTTTCTCTCTCTCTCTCTCTCTCTCTCTCTCACACACACACACACACACACACACACACACACAGACACACACATACGCAGTTCATAGTGTGTGCTGCCTGCCTGGACCCCAAATGCTGTGCAGGCCTGAGGCTCGGCCCTGCCAGTCACCACCACTTGAATGGGGAGCAAAGTGTTTAGCTGCCGTACCCGCACACAATACTCCAACACAATGGCATTTCCTGTCCCTGCTATTTCACCTGCATGGTCACTTTTCTGTCAGCGTGCACTGATTCAGCACAAATCATTCACACACACTCACACGCACGGCCACATACTACACACATTCGGCAAAGACTCGCACATACAGAGGCCATACGTCTGCCCACAGACACGCAAATACAAACACAAACCATTGGCTACACGACATGGCCCTACACTGCATTCACTGATAGATGCGGCTAAAGTATTTATCCTAAGTGTTTGTTTCTATTCAGCGCAGTTCATTTGTATGCTGTGGGACCCGCCAGCGGAGACTTGGGCTCTGAATGAGCATCCATTGCAGTTCTGCTGTCAATTGAGGCAGCCAGGCCAGACAACATGGATGGGAGGGGACCACAGATTGAGGATCTGGATAAGGGATGGGAGTTCTGCCTGGTTAGCAAGCCCGTGGCTATTACTTTTAAGTCCAAACATGGTGCAAATTGGTTATTGCCAGGCTAAATTTGAATGTCTGTTTTGGAAATCAACTAAACCTGTTAGGCAAGGGCTAAAAATGGCTAGGTTAATGCAAGTAACTCAGTGGGTAAGGTGAAGGAAGTTTGACTCACAATGGAAGCTGGAGCTTTAAGTTTGGTTCCTGGATAGAGGAGAAGAGGAGAAATAATCCTATTTTCCAGAACTTTACGTCCTCATCTCTTAACATACCGTAAGCAGAAACAAACATGGACCCAAAACAGGAACAAACATTGCTCGCAGCCACTAACAAAATGTAAAGTTTTACTATTAAAACTGGCATGTGAGGTAAACCATTTTTAATAGGATTCAAACAGACATTAGGTCACTTAAGCATTTACATATGCAAACATATATCCTACACACACGCAGAGGGTAACACGGGATTGCACTTGAGCAAATACATGCGCAGACACATGCATAAACACACAGCACTATAATAAGTGCCAGACTCAGGCTAACCAAACTGCGGCTGGAGATGCAGGCTATTCATATCCTCCAGAATGAGAGGTTACAACTTGAGTCTTTTCCCTTTCCCTTTCACTGTAATACGGGAAGGGCATCTATGTGTATGTGTGTGTGTGTGTGTGTGTGTGTGAGACTTCACCCGATCTCTGTGGCAAAAGGTCTAGCAGGAGGATTGATTAACATAAGATTAACATTGGTTTTGTTTAGCATATAGCCTCTCTCGCTCACAATAAGTTTAGCAAGGGCCACATGAAGGATTCACTCGGTTAAACAAAGTTAGAATTCAAGTCATCCAAGTGACTAAGAAAACACTGTTCATGGTGTTCAGCCTCAGCATCCAACCTCTGGCCTGTCATCATTAATATGTGGGGAAACACTGGAGGAAAACCATTTGAAACCATTTGTCCCACTAAATGGTGCCCTTGTCAGGCTCCCCGGGCTTTCTGTTAAGCTCTTAAACTGCCCAGTGCAGCTGAAGGATATATTTTACTCTGTTGATAATCACAGAGAAGCTCAGGAACAAGGCGCGCTGGTAGTTCTAGTTGCCTCTTTCTGACAGGTTTTAGTCTTTTAAAGTTGAAAAAGGATTTGTGCTGCACAGATAATGCAGTTCAGGCTCAAGGTAACTAAACAACACTAAATGGAATGAAAAAACGTGGGTCAGTTAATGAATGAGGCATCTCTCTGTCCATGCCGTTCTACCTCTCTCTGTCTCCAGCCCACAGAGAGGGGCATCGTTTGTTCGAGACTGATTGTTTGATGTAGCTCCCTGCAGCCCTGGCCTGTTTTTCCCCCTCTCTGACAGTTTTTATGGAGCATGGCATTAATTATATATGTGTGTTTTTCTATATATATGCAACATATGCCCAATCCATATGGCCGGCCTAGAGCTAAAGTAGACGCAGGGCCTTGTGTAATTAACACTTTAAAAGCTCTAGAAATCATTTGATGACTGGGATGTTGACTTTTTCGGTGACCAAGACGTAACGTTACACAACACTGAAATAGCTGTCAGATTTTAGCGATGGAGAGGTCAGAGAATATCTTTATGACTACAAACAATCACAAAGTTGAAAAAGAGGATGAGTAACTTTTAGTTTTCTTGGTCAATGCCAAAGCTCAGTCTCCATGGTATGTATGTATCATGTATTAAAGAGATGGTTCATTTTTTGGGGAAAATCGCCCTTGTGCTTTTTCTTTCAGAGAAAGTGAGTACATTACTCAACAGACAACAGATTACTCTGTGATTCAGTCACATAATGATTCCAACACAAGCCTAAATGCTGTTTTTTTTAACCTGGTATTCAGCCACGGGTAACATTTAACAATATTATATACTTATTTTGGACATTCATTAAATCACAAAAATTAAAGTAGCTATAATCAATATTTTATATGAACAACTGATCAAATGACATGTGTTATGTGAAATAGGTCGCTCATATTGTGACCGGAATGGGGCTTTATATAGTGTCTTTCAACTCATTGTTTTAGTTTTTTGGCCCATAACTTTACTGTTTTGGTTCATTCTCACAGCTCTCATCCTGTTTGCGGCCATATCAGACAGCAGCAAACCAGCTCCAAAAACTCACCTTGCGGTACCTGCACGTCGGCAAACGGCAAACAAAGTGAGCAACTAGCTGGTGAACATAGCGGAGCATTTAGCAGGAGTTCATCGGGTGGACAGAACCATCACTTGGAATGAATGCGAATGTTGCTCTGGGTCTGCTGGATGTGTAAATTAGTAACACATTAACCGTGTCAACTTGAAAGGGGATCATATGTCAGTTGTTGTGTTCGCAGCTTGTTTCCACTGCCTCCATGTGGCCAAAAAATCGGTTTGAAGAAGTAAAACGCTGCTGGATAACAGATTAACCTGTAATGTCTGCATTGGTAAAACTATCTGGCTGGATCACAGATCAACATACAGAGTCATAAGTTCGTAACTGAGGTGTAGTACTGAAAGTACGGACCTGGTGTTTGGCTAGCTTAACAGCTAACCTGGCTACCAACACCTCTGAAGCTGTCTTATTCAGTGTATTTTGTTTGTTAAACCTGTACATGAACATAAATGTAAAAATGGTGCCAAACCTGGCAACCTCACTATCACAGAGAGACTTCAGGACGCTGCACACAGTTACTGCACCCTGGTGTTTTTCTCCAATGTAAATACAATAAGTCAGATTTTAAAGGGGTGCTCAAGTAGGCTGTCTTTCATGGCATTAGATATATTAGAGCACATATGGCCCACCTTCCCTTGTCTTTTTCATTCTCTTGATCATTCACAGACAAACACCAGCAGAGAACCCACCTGGGTTTCCACATTTCCGTAAACACAAAAATATGAGGGGCAGGTATCCTCACAATCACTGATGAACAACCTTCAGATCCTACCGCTGTAGCGTCCCAATCATTTGCAGCATTGACTCTGTGAGCTCAACAGTTTCTTGAGCATCAGGGGCTTCTCTTCTACTGCAAAACAGAGCTGACATCCTACCCAGTCTCACTTCTTTTCCGCCTTAATTGTATCCCCATTCTTCACCTGGTAACAAGCTAACAAACCTGTGCAGATGTGGCAAGCACATCAAAGAGAGGGAGGGGGAACTTGTTTGTAGGAAAAAAATGTGTGGGGGAATATGAAAGAGGAAATTTACGTTGTGTGAGTCCAAGCCAGAGCCACCTCAGGGAGAAATGCTGGAAAAATGTGATATTTTACACCTGCATCTCAGGAGGTGAGGAATGAGACAGGGAGCAGGGGAGGCGGTAATTAGAGGAGTGTGCGTCCGTGTGTGTGCGCGCGTGTGTGTTTATGAAGGATCTTTAGTATGTTTCTGGGGCTTGCCACTGGTTCTTTTTCAGCATTCAATTTGGTACGATGCATTCGATGCCAGATTATTAAAAATGCTAAACCTGGTTGCGAATGCTAAAAAAAAAGTGTTGAAAATTTAAACAAATATGCTAATATTGTTACAGTGATAAATAGCTGGCAAGCTCAGTTTAATGAATAATGCTATTGGCTCTAATTCCTCATTAAGGCCCTAAAGAGGAGAGTGAAGAGAGAAAATACATGTATTGTTGATTTGGATGTTTTTTTTCCAAATTAAACTCGGAAGGCAGAAGATACCAACACCTTCCCAAATTAAGTAGATTCAAATTACTCGGTTACACAGCTGGTGTGCAGTCTGGAGTGTCTTGTGAAACCAATTAATGTGAGGGTTAAGTCTTGATAAAGTAATTGAGGCAGGGATAGAAATGGGACAGAAGAGTTAGGAGTGTTGTGTGATCAGCCTGAGCTTGATGAGACACAGAAAGTCTTAAAACATTGTACTTTTTTTTATTAAAACAAGTTAGAGAGATCTGTCAGTGTTGTCCGGGGTGTTCTGTTGTTTCCAAAGGGAACTAATCTGATCTGACCTGGAGTCAAATTATCCTCATAGGTCACATCCTCACGTGCCTGCTTTATTTCAAGATACAGTCTCTTGTTTAAAGAAAACTAAAACTGCATGGGGAGCAGGTGAGATTACTCACTCCAGTGTTTTTCTTTTCACTCCTGTACATTTTCAGTACTCACTTAAACAAGTCATGAAGACAGGCTGCAAAGTGGACACTGCTGCTTTCACCTGGCACAAAGTGCTCTCCATTAACACGTTAGAGTGCTTTTAATTCAAAATTACGATTCATCTTTTTGAGAGTAAATCCTACATGAGAGGAACCACTCATAAAAGTAGCTTTCTGTCCCCCGTGAGTGTCTATGTCAATTGAAATGCATGTAAAAGTAGATTGCATGCTAAAACTCATTTCTTTTACAAATGTTTCAAGGTGATCCTCAAGGGGCCTGGCCTGGAATACAGGCAAATTAAAAACAAGACAAATATTGTGCTGCCTATATAGTTACATGTTTTTGTCAGCCTGGAAATCGCTTGTTCTTCTTACTCATATAACCAAAAAATAGTGATGCCTGCTCATTACCCTGAAAAAGGGCCACGCCACTGACTTTCCACATAAAGGTAAAGTTTATTCATCAGGGTTATCTTGAATCAAGCTTGAGACTTCAAACATTTAACATAAAGCCTTGGTTAAAAACTGAGGCCATGTATTGTGAAATATGAGGGCACTTAACAGGCAGTGAAGGTTGAAGGAATAATGCTTTTGAGTTGCATTATGCTTGTGAAACTTGACTCATCAGAGGGACTTAAAGCCGGGACATCTCTGCCTGTGCTGCTTCAAATTTGAGGATTCTTCTTTTAATCTGCCTTTCATAAGTCTCCCAACCTTACTTAACTGTAATATTAAATCACTAGAGTCTTTAAGTCACCCTTTAAGTCTTATTTTTTTCTGCTTCTACCAGCTGCTTGGCTTTTAAAAATAGGTATGCAAACAATTTCAAGCCCACTCTTTGATTGTCAATAGTGACACATTTTCTTTCTATTTCTTTTGATTCACGTAGTGCAACACGAATGTCACAGCAAATGATTCCGCCTCTCGATGTGTCCTCGATAGCCAGTCTGCTAAACCATACTACAATACTTACAACTGCTTAAAAACCAACCTGGCAAATGCATCTGAGCTCACTCTCCTAATATTTACGCCGTTTGAGCTTATATCAGAGTTTCCATCTTTAAACTACAGCAAAAGCTTAATCTTCACATGAGCTATCATAGCCTGCTTGAAGCCTTATTTATTTTTCCAGGGAAATGTCAAGGCCAGGACAAACATAATAGCATAATATTCTGTATACAGTGAGGGATGACATCACTGGCAGCAACAGCCAAGAGGGAGATCACACAGGACTGGAAAACCGCTTGTCTGATCATCATGTGGCAGGCTGCACGCACACACACACACACACGCAAACAGTGCAGGATACAATTACCTAGTATTTTCACAGCACTTCGTGATTACTGTATTTGTTTCTTATGCTCCTATACTATACATCACACATTTGTCCACCATGAGAGTGGAGACATTTAATACACCTATATATTCAGAATCTAACTAATACTACTTACTATGAAGATCAAATATGTAAACCATAATTTGGGACTAAACGTGTCATTTTGATGGGTCACATTTCCTTTTTGCTTTCCAACATATTTGGAAAAATCGATCACCTGTACTGCCACAGATACAGATCACCTCTCCAGAGAAGTGGGGCTTAAGTATTTATTTGTGTATCAAAGATGGAGCATCGGCCTCGGGGGGAGCTAACGGAATCCTGACACTGATTGACAGATGCCCCCAGTGCATTCTGACTAAAACTAACATGCAACTGAAATATTTGGCACAAATTCACAATATAGCCTTTCCTTTAAAAATAAAAAGAGGTGAGTTGTTGCTATAAGTAGGAGAATAACAAGTCGAGATAATCCCATGTGAGGCATGTCCTCAATTCTGTATCATTTTTACTGATGAGCTTCTTGGGCAGCTGCCATGTCAGCTAGGATGCTCGTAAACAAATAATTATTCATACTAATAATCTTCCATATTCATGTGCAAATAAGACCCCTTCCTGGTATATAAGCAGCTTCAAGGTTGTATGTGGGAGGTTCCCCTAACTATTGCCTGACTTGACTCATTTCATGCCAAAAAAAAAGATATCTAGGGTCAAGGATGTGTGAGCTATATATCATAATTCAGTAAAAAAACAAACAGACTTTCTATTACTCATTTGGAAACCTACAACCCCTGCATTCAAATGTTTTCACAGCCTCACATGGAATACATTTGCCAATTTAAAACAAATATCCTGTTAAGGGCAATTAGGGATAAAACAGGAAACAATAACAGATTGTCTTATGAAAGTACTCAGCCAATTCAACCTCAAATAAATTCTCAGATATTGTTGGATCCTAAAGGAATGCTAAAAGCGATCAGATTCCGAGGTCAGGCTTACCAAACTTTTGCTTTGTGATGTCACAGGATCTCTCTGAATTGCACGAATAAATCGCCTGCCTAATGATAGAATTGGTCTAAATCGCTGTGCGTAATTACGCCCCAATCAAATTTGGCACATAACTGATTGTTGGCGGGGGAAAAAAGTTCCACCATCTTATAGCCAAATTTCCAAACTCTTTTAAACTTTTCCTTCAGGTGGGATTCGGGCTCTGTGAGCTCTACACATGTCGCCACGTACCTTTATAATGTGCTATAAGACGCCTCTTGATTAGCTACACTGAATGATATGCGATAGCGCGTATCATGTATGTGGCTATAAATAGTCCACAGACTGGCCCACGCGAGAGGCCAGTGCAATATGAGGAGTCATGTTCTTCATGTGGATGAAACGGCAGAAGGCAGTGGGCACCGGGCGGTGAACTAGGAGGTATGGACGCTGATTTGGCCAGGAGATTGGAAAGAAATTCTGGCAACATGTAATATTACTATTAAAATAAGGTGTCTTCTGTTTTCAGCAACAGCAACATGCGTTTAAATATACATGCAATATTTTGGCAAGGCAAACTCTCCTAGTTACAAAGTTAACCATAGCCTACTACATCTAACTGTGACAGAAAACATATACAGGTAGGTGGAAGGACTTGACACACTATTTGGTGATTGTTATCCATTAGCTACGCAAGTAAATAGTCACACGCACAAGAATTATAAGTGGTTAACTCAGCCCACTAAACTTTACATTAAAGGCTTTCTGTGTATCATTAGATTTATGAACAACTACAGTGAATCTGAAAGCTGACTGCATAAATGAGGAAATTATTGGTTTACATAGCACGTACCATTGTGGTGTAGGGAAATGTGCCAACACTCTCAAAGACCCATTTTCCACTCTCAAAAGTTCGGCTTCCAAAAAAAAGTGTGTGGGAGAGAGAAAACTGCTCGGTTTCTTGTTCAGCTGGGCCTTATACCGGAAGCAAAAGAGCCCTAATACACGGCCTGTTGCCCGGTAAACATTTTTTGTGATTTGTAGTCAACTCTCCTCAGTCAAGGCAAAGGAGGACAGAGCCGTATATAATCCAAGTCGCCTGCTGCCCGACTTCTTCATACAAGTTGTTTATGCTCGGTTTCAACTCGTAGTATTCCCATGAAAATCGGTCGGTGTCGAGACTGTGCTCGCTTGCCAGTGCGCGCTGCTCTCTCCAGTCTGTCCCGGTAATGTCCACCGAGTCGCCGCGCTCTGCGCCACCGACACCGTCACCGTCTGAGCCCGAGTGACAGAGCGGGAGTCTGGCTGTACACCGACAGTAAGTAGCTTGCACTCTCTGCTTACGCGCTCACCAAATCAGCTGTTGCTCCTGCAGAGGGGACGACGCCGCGCGCTTTCCCCTTGTGCATGCTCCGGCTTTGCTGATGTGAAAATGTGGAGTTCCTCCTCGGTGCTACACCCCACCTGTTCCTCAGTGTCCGGAGAAAGTTGCGGAGAGAACGGCGACTAAAACAAAACCCACCATGTGGCAGCGCGGATGTCGCAAAATCAGAGACATCAGAGTTGCTGAGACTAGCGGGACTTGGTGGGCAATGCCAACCGGGACTGCCTACAGGCTGAACACAGTAACAAGGATGTGAATGTGCGTATCCTTGTGTGAGACACCGAGCGGCCAAAATTAAGTAAACAATTGCTAGATGTGAAAACACAGCGTGGCTGCACGCACGCACCAGTGAGGACGTGCGGTGTCCTGCGGCCGCGGCCGGAGAAGCGGAGCGGAGGGCTGGTAAATTATTAATAACCAGAGCGGTTCACAGTCTGTCGTGTTCTGCGAGTAACCAGGGCGGCAGCTGGGGGTTTAGAGGAATTAAATACGGGCTCAGAGTAAACCATGGACGCAGGGGATTAGTAGCTCTCACCGGCAAAAGTGTAGGGGCAGCTCGGGGCCGACAGAGAGGGCGGGAGGGAGCGGAGGTTAGGGAGCGGTGGGGGAGGCAGCCGTGGCGCGTGGTATATGATAAACCCAAATATTTTAAAAGGTCGTGAAATAAAAGGAGAGATGAAGCTGTAAATGTCACTTAATATAATTCAGCCTAAATGCATGCACGTAGACCCGTGTGGTCAGTTAAAAGGTTGGTAAAATATGACCTCCAACTGGTGAACCACAACCTACAATATATATAATATAATATTTTTTAGATTTTATTTTAAAACAGATCAAGCTGAGCCTAGGTGAGTTAAATGTCTGCAGGATTGATTTCATTCTCATATAAAATGATCGGACACCGATAGTGTATCATGCCTGTGGTGGGAATAATGTGAGAAGTTTCAGCAGCCATGAATCTGTCATGTAGCCTTATTTTAGAGATGTGTAACACCTATATATTTGCCACATTTACGCACACCCACCACTCCAACTGCAGGCCTCACAGTTAAAAATCCACAGTCAAAAGATAAAAAACGTCTCTGTTTTGTTCTGTTCAGGTGAACCTCGGTTTGTTCTGTCATGAATAAAGCAGTGGGTTGGATGAAGCAGGTGCGTGACTCCTGGCTGGGCTATGTGAACACAATATTTATTCACCACAAATATCAAATTAGCCCCGGAAATTTAGACAGAATGTCAGCAGACACGCCTTAAAGAGAGACTGGCCCAGTGATGAATAAATTACCAAAGTAACGTTTTGACCCTTTATGGGAAACGAAGCACTTCACGGAAGTGCGCAACTGCAGACGTCATGCAGTGAAATGATGAGCGCTGTCAAAATGGATCCCACCTGCTACCAATTTAGTTTGTATTGGTTCGACTTTCTCACTTTACAAACAGACAAATAAAAAGCTTATGGGCGAAGAGTTGTTACTTACAGAGAGGCATGCAGCTGAAATATTTCACCGAGAAGCAGCTTAAATATCTAAACGTTTTAATTTTTCACCAAAAACACAAAATATGAACTCTAATGAAATCCCCTTTTTTCCAGATATATTTTTGACTAAAGAAGGCTTCGGATTCCGACTGTGATATTATGAATGTTGGATCTATTGATTGGAAACAGGAATATTTCAAGTTTTAATGGCCTAGTAATATTTTCAATAGATGAACATACAAGTTTTCCATTTTGCATTTCTTTATTACAGCAGCCTATTTGTCTGCAATTCTCAGCAAGAACATCTGACTCTTCTTATGTGAAACTGTCATCAATTAATGCCTAATTAAATAGATATTTGACTTGTCACAATCTTTTAACTTAGCACAGTAGGTTTCCTTTTTATATTTATAAAATATAGGCTACAACAATAACTGTCCTTTATATAAGTTAATTTAAAAGAACACCCTCAAAAAACGCGATTATTCGTTCGTTTTTAAAGGGTTAACCGTGCACAATAAAATACAAAAGCAAAAAACTATTTTATGACAAATAAACTGTTTAGGCCTCAGCTATTTTCCTTGTAACTTCTTAAAATAGGTTATATGAATAAAAATAAACACAATTAAGCTATGTGACAGTGGGGATAAATGTAGCCTATGTCATATAGGCTATGTTGGACTGAATCATTGGTAAAAAGGTTACAAAAGCATCAGGAAGAAGTGATAGCCAACCTGTCTAGTTTATTTTTTCTATTTTTTAAAAATTTTTTTAGTTCAGGCAACAAATTTAAGACCCACATTCAGTCAGATTTCAGTCATGGTTCAACAATGTCGGAAGGACAGCGTTTTTAAACACGTCTGATCAATTATATTTGAATGTGTGAAAGTGTGTTTGTGGCCTTTTCAAGTGAGCGGCCTGCAGGAGAGGCAAAGTCTTCCGCACCATGAAATGTCTTTGGGCCTGTGTGAGCATACTCATTTGCTAAAGTGCGTTTGATTTTCAAGGGAGCACCGTGAACACCATATTATTTCTAACAAATGTAGTAGACATGCACTGGTACACGATGTGTAATGCAAGATAAATGTTAAACTGTGAGGTATACACACACGTCTTGTTACTCTGATACAAGATATGCCTGCAAGTTCGTCTCAGGCAGTTGGTTCATCGAGCTGACTTGATGGTTGACCTTAAAATGGCTTTGTTGTAGCCTTACTCCTTTGAACTTCTTTGAACATGCGGCCTGTTTAGGATGCTTTGTGTTAATCTGCTTAGAGACGTTTACATGTCCAGTAATTTGATATCTGGGTATTTTATTTGCAGAAAATATTTTGGATATGTAAATTAAAGGATGGTCTCATTTTAACATATAAATTTAGAGAGACTGCATGTGGCTCTGTGTCAAGATCAAATCAAAAAGCTTTGTTTGCACAGACACATTTGGTACAGTAACTGCATGAAGATCAAGGCGTCAGATCACTGACCCTAAACTGGAAACTAGGCCATGGCGTCTAATTGCATCTCCAAAACCTTTCAACCCGCTTATGTCGCCTAGATACGCAGGGACACGTTGAACAGACTGATATTATTAGGCTGTTGTTCACTATGACGAATGGTCACAAACATATCCCGTCCACAAAACTGGACTTTTTTAGCCTATATGGTTTGAAATGTGATTCAAGATAGATCTCGATATTTTGCAGCCTAAAAATTCAATACAATTTTGGGACTTGCCTACAGGCTAATGTGTCTACACCTATCCATACATCCTGCACGCACCATGCAGTCCATATTCGCCCAAATCCCAGCTTGCGCTCATTTGCAAAGTCCTTTCATTGGTCTCTCCTCTCCCGGTCCTATATACCGTCTCTCCCTGGAGGTTTACACAAACTGTGAAACAAAAGTTCCACTAGGCAACGGCCTGACGAGGAATGCTGACCTTGGCACGGCCAGTGGAACCGGCCCGACTCACGGCCATTCTCTCATTTCTTTTGGTTTGAATTAAGACGCATTTGACCTGCGCCAGCTTCCAAGAGGTGCCACGGTGGTTAGAGGCATGCTGGAGCCGTAGGCTGCTGCTGCTGCTGCTGGCTGACACTGAAAAGAGCTGCTGCAATCCTGAGATGAAGTTTGGAAGAGTATTTATAGGACAACGTTTACAAGATGTAAAAATACTCCATTACAAGTACAAGTATTGCATTAAAATCCCTACTTAAATAAAAGTACAAGTAAGTATTATAAGCTAAATTTAATTAAAGTAAAATGACCTGTTCTTTGAGCCTTGTACAATAACTTAAATGAAAATAGAAGGGAAATGTCTTAACAGCTCATAGACATCTGAAAGATGACAGAGAGCCACAACTAGACACAAGAGGTCACAAACAAAAAGGTTGACAAACACAGGCTTAATCTTTAACGGTGTGTTGGATTTCATTATCTTGTTTTTTTAATGTAAAATCTTCAACTAAAAAGTAACTCTTGCGGCATATAAATGTACTAGAGTAAAAACCATAATATTTCACTCTGAAATTTAAAGGAGAAAATGGAAATACACAAGTGAAATACAAGTACAAGTACAAGCTTAAAAATGTACTTTTAAGTAGGCCTAAATGTACTTTTAAGTTTTTATTTTTAAGTAAAAATACAAAAGCATCAGGAAAATGTATTTCATGTGGTATCCAATATAAAAGTACTCATTAGGCAACATAATGGTTATTATTAATAATGCATTAAAATTCATTTAAAGTACCTTAAAATTGCATTAAAGGACGGTACTTGACTAAACGTACTGTGTATGGGTATAATACTCTATGTTTACTACAGAAGTACAGGTAAGGTAACACTCATAAGATCACAGGTAAATACAGTCCTAAAGAATTTGAAATTGATTTTATTGTTGATGGGTGGCTCCATCACTTCATCTCTGCACTCACAATGAAAACAAACAAACAAACAAAAAACACACAAGCCAGACAGAGACAGAGATTTCCTTGGATGAAAGTCTAAGGCTTTGAAAACTTGCCTTTATATTTTAAATATCTGCACCTCTGACCTACGTGTGCAGAGCTTTAATAGATAAAAGATAGATATAAAAGGGAGATAAAAAATAGAATAGGAACTGCATGACTGACACTTTTTAAACAGACAAAAATATTTCAAAACAAAACAAAAGTTAATCTAAAATTAAAATTTTGTAAAACAATATGAGTAAATTATATGTTTGTAATCACAGTTAAAGTCTGTGAAACCTTACAGTATGTGCCAGACCTAGTAAGTACGACAAGGACATTAACTAGAGTATAGTTAATTATATATTTATCTCACTCTTTTTAAGTCTGTTTTCCAAAATCTCTGGAGAGAGGTTGGCCTTTGATATTAAATAGATCATTCTATAGATTCCTTTACTGACGAGACTTTTCAAATATCTTTCGATGTTGAAATGCAGTATTTCCATATTTCACAGTTTATAGACTCATTCATCTGTGAAAGTAACTGAATCCCAAAGGGCCTTTGAAATACAGGTGGAGGCTTGATTGAAAATGGTATTTAATTACCTAAAGACTCTTGAGAAAATGTGCTGGCCCTTTGTACATCAAGGTAGGAAAACGCTGTTAAGCAGGATTAGACTTAAAGTCACTTACTTCAAATATAGAAGTGTTTACTCATTGGAGAACAAAGTGTATTTTTTAATTGATTAGGGTTTTGATAATAGATCTTATCGGTAGGAGAAACAATGACTTTCTGAATTTCGGCCCATCTACAGAAAAAAACAGACTTGATTTTATTGTCAGGCAGCAAAAGTAGATCTTGCACTCTGATCAGTTTTCTCACGTGCAGTTGATTGCATTAGCATAAGATGGTGTGTTTGCTAAACACAAACACACACAGCAAATACATCCACCTGCAGGCTGAGTGGTGAGATTAGCAACACCTGATGGAGAAGGATGATTGGTGGAGCCTCGGGCCCTGCGAAGCGCTGATTGGCTCAGTAGAGGACCTGGATAACTGATGCAGAGTGGAGTGTGTATGTGTGTGTGTGTGTGTGTGT